CAAGTTCTGAACAGATATTTTCTTTGCAGTATTTTTAGCAGATCTCCATGTGTGTGATGATTTTCACTACAATTTGTTTTTATAAACCTGGTGAGTCATCTTAGGCCTGCTATGTTCCAAATAATTACAAAATCAAAATCGGATCATTGTGCACACAATTCAAACTGTAGTGGACGGCATACTTCAGCCATACCGTGAGCATTCGTTATGCGTTTGTTGTCTGCAGCAGGCATCTCGAGACAACTTGAGGATCAAAAGTTGTCGTCGCAGATATTTTGGAAATGGCCACTTCTCGGCAAACTTCTGTCGTGGTAAGTGTGAAATCTAGGCTCCCAACATCTATTACATTTAGATGTGTAAATTTCGTATCCGATTTTCGACCGAGCTCTCTTTCGGAGCGAAATTCACTCCCACGTATACATCCAGAACAACGCCCCTAGCAACGGTTTGTTTGAAGCGGTGACGTCACACTTACGGGTTCAATCACCATCATCGTCATTATACGTGCAGTGCATCAATAATATTCATGTTTTGCTTGAGGAGGTTTCCGGAAAAAAATACAAATTGCAAAAAAGTGTTAGTCCCATGCAGAAAGCAAAAAAACCGGAAAAAACCGTCTAAAAAAATTTGGGTCGTGTATATGTTTATACAGCCTAGAACTTGGACTGCCTCAGCGGGCGACGAGTCTCCCAGCTGTAGATGAGAAATTCAGCCAGTGCAGTACCACTGCTAGCCTGGGGTCTTTAACGTGCACCACGCAGTAGTGATACACGACCGCACGCTGGTATGATGCTCATCCAGATCGAAACGGGCAGGGGTGGGGATTGAACCCAGGATACCAGGGTTCTGCAGCGCGAGCTTGCACTCCACGTGCTGCGAGCTGGTGTGCGCAAGCCTACTCGGCCACCGATCCCCCAAACAAACTGTCTGTTTGACACTGCGGTTGACAGACACACAGAACAAAAATTTGAAAGCTTCTGTATTGTGCTCATCGTGCTATGTTGTTTATCGTGCTGCGTCATGTGGCTAGTGCCATCTCTTCCCTGATGTTGTATGAGACACAGAAATAAACCTTCACATGTCATCGTGTTCACCACGCTGGACGCGTTGGTCTGACGTTCTTATAAACCCAGGGCCTGTTGGTACAGATTCTTAGAGATGAACGCCCAAAACCAAATCCAGCAGATCCAGGCATGTGTGTGGTGCTTTCTGTAACTATCAGTGTCAACCAGATGCTGTGTTTTAATTTTTTTTCCCTGTGCACACAGATCATTTTTTTCGGGCATTCTTTTTAGCAATTTTACACTAATGAAATTTGAATATAATGCATCACCTAAAGACAACTACGTGAAAGTTTCATTATACTCCATTTTGAAAACAGAATCACACTTTCAAACACTCTGCGGGACACCATATGGGTTCACCGGACCAGGTAACCTTGGGAATTTCCCTACCCTTACAGCAAGGTAACGTGTCCTCCCAGTGCGAGCAATACTTCAGTATGGGCATCCCACAGATTGATGTGGAACTACGAGTGGTGTAGTGTAGTGTTTTTGCACTGTTGTTAACAAAGGTTGCAGGCTCTTACGCTGCCTAGCTCCAACATTGTCCCATCCATCTTTCAAAAGCAACGGACATTGCCCGTTATTGAGACTGCCAAGAACACCTGGCCTGAGGATGGGCCACTGAATTGCTCCACTTTGAATCTATATACGCCAATGAACGTCCGCCAGGCGACGCACGTTGTTTTTGTATCAAGAATGCTCACTTCGCACAACCCCAGCCTTGAAATTGTCATTATCACGCTCACCGCAAGATGCTGAGCATGCACTCCTGACCCCATAAGCGTAATATCTGAGCACCCCCGCCGCCAGCACATGGAGCCGGATTGATGGACAAATACGGCCGAACCCTCCGGATCGGGCAGCAGCTTGGGTCACCTAGTGCAAGTCAGCCGCCACCACCAGCACAGGGAGGTGGATAAACGGATGAATGTGGTCGAACACTTTGAATTGGGTGGCAGCTTGCACCACCTGGTGCGACTAAGCTGCAAGCTTACCTGGGGGGACGCTGCAGAATGAGAGGACGCCCCGCCACGAGCACGGGGAAGTCGAGGGCAGTGGGGTCGGGTCTCGGACGCTTGCTTTCTTTGGACACGCCGACGGCTGGATCGGGCACGGGAGAGTTCAACTCGGCAGCGTCCGTCTTGGCCTGCTTGGCCGGGATCACCTGCACCACGTCCAGGTCCGAATCGTTGTCTTCGAGGCAGACCACGTCGTCGTCGTCGTCGTCGTCGTCGTCGTTGCTGTCTTCGGCAGAAGAGCCGAGCGGCGAACTCTGGGCCTCCGGAGAAGGCTCGGGAGGCGGCTTTGGGGTCCTGTGGTACGGCGGACAGGGCAGAACAGATCCATAAAAAGTGCTCTTCAAAAATTTATATCTGCCACCGAAATGTCCTGCATGTAGAATGCAATAGCAATGTACATTACCAATACGGCACAAACGACGGTCTGCTCTGGCATTTGCGCCATTGTAGCCTATTGCTGACTAATGTTTTGCTTGATCTGGCATATTTTTTTTTCTCAGCAGTTGGGCCAACTTTTTTGTGAGAAAATTGTCATAAAATTTTATTGTGTTTTTCTTGCTCAAGTGTGTGCAGCCTTGTTTTCTGTACATTTCCAAAATGTATATATGTCCTTTCCTATCAGTAGTATTTTTGAATGAAGTAAATAGGATCCAGTGTCAAGTGGAGCTGTTGCAAGACATCATGCGATTATAGTAATTGTGCTTTGTGTTTGCTTAGACTGTGGGAAGTTTTCAGTCCCAGCAGGCGTCTGACGTCTCTGCTGTAGATGAGAAATTTCACAGGTGCAGCACCACCGCTTACCCGGGGTCTTAAACACTCCGACGGTCGCCACCGTAAATGAATGGCGGTGACTACATATTTGAAAGTGCCTGCCTAGATGTGAAACAGCGCACACCACGGGGGGTGTTACTATATTCGTTTTGTCTTTGGCAAACTATAAGCGTTATGTTAGCACAGTGTTTAGCTTTTCTGGGGCTATTTTCAGGTTTTGAAATCAGACGCTACGCACAGATGATACGTGCAAAATGTTCGCTTCACGTGTCGGCTGCTGTTCTGGGAGTAGTGGCAATTGGAATGCCACCTCTTCCGACTCAGACTTCTAACACTTCTCAGAGTTGAATTGAGAGGATGAGAGTTTCCAATCAGACGGAGATGCACGGTAAAGTACCTCTGAGACCGCCAGAATGTCGCACGAGCAGTCACGCCAAAGCAAGACCGAATGGAAGAAAGGAGGCAACTTTTCACCTTTCAATATTTTCTTTCGATGCTTCTGAGCCAGAATGGTTTGCAAGAAATGCATGTTCTCTTGTAAGGCAATGAAGAAAAAAAAAAACTGCGCACTGACCCTTTCTTTATACCATTTCCTCGAAAACAAGACCCAACCACCAGAAAACATTTTCTTGAAAAACAAAACTCGACCGTCAGAGGGTCAACGGGCATCCCACATGGCGACAAACAACCACACGCCAGTATGACATTCATCCAGATCAAAACGGGCTGGGGCGGGGATTGAACCTGGAGTTTTTTTTTTTTACCTGCTCCACCAGCAACATTTCTTAAGTGTCTCAAAAACACTCTCGGAATCTGTCCTTCTCCTGCACATGTATATTCTCTTCTATATGTTCAAGAAAGATGGTACAGTGATCACTGGCACGACAGATATATTTGTCGAGCTGACCTGCGGTGGTGTGGCCTATATGTTGAATATGCTGCCACGGAAATACGGCACTGCGCCGCCAGGCTCGACGTCTCCCAGTTCTTAGATTGCCGCCGCCAAAGTAAAACCCTTTAACTGCTACAGCCGGTACCTCCGCCACGGTCGCCAACGGAGCGAGAACGGCAAGGTGCGTCTGTCGAACGCCTGGCCTCCAGCACACGCCCGTCACCCTTTGGCACGCTCAACGTTCAACATTCACAAGAGGCCGAAGCGTTCCAGAAGGTAGAAAGCTTGCGCCGGAGGCGGGACAACTGAAGCAGTTCCCGACTCGTCAACGGCGACGTTAGTGTGACCCCACGAGGTCTCCTACCTGCGGGGGAGCAGTACCACATAGCCGGCCCTGAGGAGGTGTGCATAGACGCGGTACTGGTCCATGTCGTCCCTGCCGTCCAGGAGCAGTTCGTACGCCTCCGGCAGGCTGACCGGAACACCATCCCGCTTCAGCGTCAGCTGGCCCTGCGGGAGAGACGTCGCCTCAGGAACGATGCTTTCCGCGCACGCGAGAAGCGTCCGCCCCACCGTTCACGAGGGCAGAGTGACAGACAACAAGAGCAACCAGCATGTCCGTGCTCCGTTTGTCATAACCTGGGAGATGGCGACGGCTACGGTCCCGGCAAGCCAATGAGTGCGTCGGAGGGCGACGTACGGCTGCAGTCCATCCAACTATAGTCTATCTGGCTGGTAGAGCGCAGTGCTGTCAAAGCCACGGAGTGGGAAAGAGCGGAGAGCCGCTTTTGTATGAATTTCGGGCGACGGGCTAATGTCCGAGGGGGACAAGAGCAACGTCTGGGACGTGCGAAAGAGGGTCAGGGTAAAAGGGGAGTTCCCCTTTACCCTCTTCCCCCCCAGCTTGGACTACGCTCTTCTCCCTGCATTTCTGGTGTGGGCTGTCACGTGCTCTGCGTCGGTCCTTCCAATAGACTACTTCTATAAACCCCTGCATGCAACACTGCATGCAACACTGCATGCAACACTGGCATGGTTTCGGTTTCAATCGACACGTCGACAAGAGATTATACAGAGAGGATCTGATGTTTTCTGGTCCCGAGAGCGTCATTTTTGGTCTCTAAAATAACCTAAGAGGCCAGACCTCGAAGCTTCAGCACAAGCCCGAGACGTATGGCGTGTCTTAACACATGCTTGTTGTATTTTAGAGCGCAGCTCTTAGGCGCCCGTTTCCGGCTTGAACGGCGTCGGCGTAACTGCGCGGTGCATTATGGGTAAATTTCCCCCGCTAAATCTAGCGAAAAAATTTCCCCGCTAAATCTAGCGGAAAAATTTCCCCGCTAAATCTAGCGGAAAAATTTCCCCGCTAAATCTGGAGGAAAAATTTCCCCGCTAAATCTAGCGAAAATATTTTCCCACTAAATCTAGCGGAAAAATTTCCCCACTAAATCTAGCGGAAAAACTTTCCCTGCTACATCTAGCAGAGAAATTTCCCCGCTAGATCTAGCGGAAAAATTTTCCCCATTAAATCTAGCGGAAAAATTTCCCCACTAAATCTAGCGGAAAAATCCCCCGCTAAATCTAGCAGAAAAATTTCTTCTCTAAATCTAGCGGAAAAATTTTCCCACTAAACCTGGCGGAAAAATTTCTCCGCTAAATCTAGCGGAAAAATTTCTCCGCTAAATCTGGCGGAAAAATTTCCCCGCTTAATCTGGTGGAAAAATTTCCCCGCTAAATCTAGCGGAAATATTTTCCAGCTAAATCTAGTGGAAAATTTCCCTGCTAAATCTAGCAGAAATATTTCCCCGCTAAGTTTAGCGGAAAAATTTCCCTGCTAAATCTAGCGGAAAACTTTCTCTGGGGAGTCACGTGACCCCCACGTGATTTTGGGGAGGGGGTCACGTGACCCCCACGTGATTTCGGGAAGGGGGTCACGTGACCTTTGTGGCCTTGGCTCCTCCTCCTCAAGAGCTGCGCTCTAGGAGTTGTAAACGGCCTTCATTTTTTTGTACTTGAGCGTCTCTGCTAGCGTTTCGAGGTATGTGAACGAGCCAGTGCTCGGAATCTCAACGCCGCGAAGCCCGGGGATCTTGCTTGTGTACGAGTTAACAAGCTGTAACAACCAATAAGTATCCATACATCGAGCTCACACCTTTACATTAGTGTTGCTGGTCAGGAAGTCTGTTTGTGTTGTGCGTCCATTCACGAAATATAACTTTTTGCAATTACAGATTTTCTTAATACGCCTCAGTATGCGAGATAAAACTCAGAGGCGCCGTTGAAAACCTCAAATTGAACAGACTTCTGATCTCTTCATCTGTACTGACCCGCAGCACCGCACGAAACAAAGTCCCCACCCGCTTGCATTCCACTAATATTCAACGTCGCGTATGCGAATAAAGTTGCCCTGCAATCATATAGGCCCATTCACACATACAAACCGTTTTAAGAAAGCAAAAGTCAAGCACTTGCATGAAGAATGTCACACCGTTCGCCGGAAGTGCGCCGGACGGGCATGAACCCCTATGCGGTGTGCCAAACGAACGAAATTATTCAAAGCGCATTTGACGGTTGTGAATGGCCATAATATTTGTTATGTGTTTGCTTTCTTCCTGCCTGAGTGTGCCGAGATAATTTCAGGCACACCGTTCAGACACAGATCTTGGGAGCCAGTAAAAGCTCACCCAAAAAGGCTTAGCGAGGAGTAGGGGACGCTTGTTAGGGCCTCCGTCGTAGCTAGCTGAGCTCAGCGTTTGCGAAAACTTAATCTCCTATCAGCATAAAATCTGAATGGAATATATATGATGACACGAGAAAGACATCATAGTAACTTTTGGGCTCAACTTTGATACTTTTGTGAGCGTGTGGCTTGCTTTTCGCCTAATCAAGTAACAAGAAGCGGACGTTTGGCAAACAAAATATGTATAAGGCTCAAGGTGACCAAATTTCAGTTGTAGTTCACTGGTACTAGATGAGATTATTGAAACTGAGCTCAAAGATGCACTGGTGAGGTGATGTCACTAAGCCGCGTCTTACTATGTTTGCATACGCACGCACAATATTTGGTGTTTTGGGAACCAAGGAAAGTTCCCCGGTCTTCGTTTTGTATCGCTCGAGAGTGAGTGTAGTGTACATTCGTGAAAAGTCAAATAGTCGAAAACGCAAGCGGCGCATTCGGTCATGGCGTGATGGCATGAAATGAAGCTGCTCAATCAAAACCGAAAGTGAGTTGCCAACTAGTTCCCAGGGTGCATTGCTTGGTATTTCACCGCGAGGGGGCACTTCGAGTTTTGGAAGAAGTCTATTAACTCTAAGGGGCCGTGAGGTTCGCTCCTTGCCAAGTTACGGTGAATCAAGGTATAGTAGCAGTGGCAAGTCCGATGTCTATCGGTGTCGCATCACTATGATGCAGGTGCGAGCACATGCTAGCCTGACCGCTATTGGGTATAGCTCCCATTCTTAAAAATAAAAAGAAACACATATAAAAAAGTGATAACAAAACAATCGAGTACTTGACACATAAGAAACAAAAAAATATACGAAACAAGCAAGAAGAAGAGAAACGTAGGTGATGTGTCAGGAATTTTTACTTTCGATAAGAGGAGCTCTCAAACTTTCAATCTCGAGAAACCTGTGCCTTCCCCTCCTGACATCCCCGTAGCAAAATAATTTGTACGCTCGTTGCACAAGGCAAAAATATTGAAGTAATCAGCTGGCAACAATGCATCAGTGCTTGGCTCAGTAGTGCTTGAATCAAGACCAAGGTATGTCTAGAATGGCACTATGGGAAAGATGGGCGTTTAAGTAACAAATATTTACCAAAATGAACGGGGGATGCGACAGTAATTGAAGAAGGTAGATGCTCATAAAATAATGAGACGTAGTGCGATGCAAGCGACGAGAACACATTAAAATAACCGCCGAGTCCGGCACAGCTACCTAGTGAAAATGGGCGGGGTTACCAACACTCCTACCTACAAAGGGTTGAAGGAGACTTTGCTAAGGGTACGGACAAACGAGAAATTACAGTTGCTCGAACAATCCCTGGGGGCTGTTCAGGGTACAGTTTCCCAGAGTGCCCCAGAGTGGGAACCAGGGGCATAGTCAGGGGGGGGGGGGGGCTTATGGGGCTCCAGCCCCCCACCCTCCAAAAATCCAGCCAACCCAATAATTTAAACATGAGTTTTGACCCTTCCTCCCCCTTTCCGCACCCCAAGTCATGGAAATCCCAGCCACCTCTGCCCCCCTCCCCCCCTCTCCAACGCCAACCGAAAAAAATTCCTGGCTATGCCACTGGTGGGAGCCCATGTGCGACAGAACGACGCAGACATATCGGTATCGTATGGTGCCCGAAATGCATCTCCGGCTGGTGTGTTTACCGCATGCTTGTCCGTGGTCTCTCAATTTCCGCCCGATGACCTAACACCTATACCATGCCGTTGATGGCCACAATTTTGATGGTGGCATGTCGGTGGAGGAGAAGGCGGCAACCGCCCGTTCTGCCGCACGTTGCTCTTTATAGAGACATCCCGCAGAAACCTCAGCAGCCACGAGATGGGTCACTGCAGCAGCAACAACAACGCCCGCGTCTGCTCACACTTTTCGCCGGAACTCACACGACCTACTGCCAGGATTGCAACGTCCGGCGATACGGCACGCCGGCTGCTGCGATGCCATTTGCTACCACTTCAGGACATGTTTCGACGTGCGGGCGGTGCAGGACGCTAAACATGGCCGCCGAAAACGCATTCCGGGCACCTTGACATCAAAACAGGCGATAGCATTGAACCCACCGACTCAACGAGAAACAAAGTCTCGAGGGGATGCAGCAGCGTCCGTCTCCCTACTGCCCGGCCCATGAAGCTGAGGAAGTGACCCTGAAACGATGTGCGCACAAACCATGTCAGCACAGCGACGTTAGAGAGGTACTGAAGTGGATTGTGAGATTGTTTTCTTATGATGCAAACTCAGCCTATTCGCAAAATGAAAAGTTGGACTACCTGGTACATGATGAGAAGAATAGGCACCTCAAAGCCTGACAGAGAGCAAGCACCGTCTCAAGGATAAGGACAGGGTGCTCGCTGTCGTCTTCCTTTTTGTTCCTGCCCTTTAAAGCCCTTGTTCTTCTTCCAATCTATACAGTCTCAGCATTCTACGAAACCCGAAATTACAGCCCTGCATGACATGTTTCCCTATTCAAAAGACGACCGAACATTGCATTAAACTTTTTCTAACGCAGAATGTGTTTTATGAACCAAATTCTATGAGAAGACCGTCACGAAGAACTGTGACATCACAACGCCACGTGACACGAAAAACTGTGACGTCGCAACGTCACGTGACACCACGACGGCGCGTAATATAATGAGGTTACGTGACTCTAAGGCATCTCAATACCGTGAAGTCAGGTGGCAGCATGACATCACACCCACATAGCATGTGCCCAGCTCCTCCACAACACATACCGAGATGTACCTGTTTGAAAAGCGCCCAATCTGACGTCTGCTGGCGTTATCAACGGGGTAAAAGCCCACGTATGGCTACGATTCTGGGTTTCCTAGGATGCATAGATCGAGTTTGCACTACAATGCAATCCACGATACAACATATAACAATGTACTGCTTATTAAAATCAGTTTCTGGAGTTTCTACACTAGAAACGCTGTTTCTAGTCCATAATCCGATAATCGGTGGTAACGACTGAATTTTCGGGTTTCGTAATCATCGTTATAAGTAGATTTCACTGTGCATGGAGCTGATCTCAAAGCCCGGTTTCGTGTCCCATTACATGAGGCAAGGTCCATAGCTTGCCTTGTGTCTGGTGAGCACAATCTTCTCCTCGTGCCACGTTGCTTCAGCCACGTCTGCCCTGTGGATGAGGAGGTTAGTTCACCATAAATACGTTGCTAATGACAAGACGAACAGCTGTAGTAATCGAGGAAAACAGTCTCCCCGATTGTTGCGGCTCCGAATCAGAGCAGCGTGCGTGAACCGGCCCCTGTAGCTCCGTTTCACTCACAACTTGTAAGCTCCGACGTAAGCGAGAGCCTGCGCCCGCTCCTTCACCAGGGCTTGCAGTTGAGTGGCTTCCGCTTCGGGGTCCTTCGAAGCCAGGAGCTTGTGTCCCGACCGAGTCCAAGCTTTGGGCTCTCGGATGCACTGAGAGCGGAAGATGTCGCCGCCGCTGCACAAACGAGAAACCATTGTAACTGGCGTCCTCCTCCCCCGTCTCGACTTGCATACCTTGGCAGTCGGAAGCAGTAGTCGTCATCTTCTTGACCGGTGTCGTCCGCGTTTGTGTCGCTACCTTGGCTGGCCGGCGCTTGATTCGTAGGAACCGCCGTATCCATGCAAACAGCGTCGTCGGCGGCCGCCATGGCAGCCATGTTTGACTTGAGGCGATTCGCAACAAGCCAAGTCGAACCATTCTTCAAATCATAAATCTTTTTCAAATCAGTCTAAGTATGCAAAGAATTAAAATTGATGAAGTATAACGTGCTGAAAATCTTAAAAAAGTAATTTGAAAACAAATAGGAGCATTTTTTGTTACTTTAAGTTTAATCGTTTAATCTTAAACACGTAAAATAAAAGCTAGCTACTATCATCATCGTTGGTTGGTTTCGTTTTCTTTCGCTTTTCTGGTGAATTGGGTGAACTCGATGCTTTGCCAGCTTTGCTAACGCTTTGGACGAACGTTGCCTCAGGTAATACCGTCAGTGATCAATTGCAGCGGAAACATGCCATCATAAATCGTAGAAAAACATAAACGGTGTTTTCTTAACTTTCTATGAACAATTATAGATGTCTCAAACGTTTCATTACGTGATTCGTGTGTAGATATCACATATCACCTTTCGACGTAGTGGTGTTTATCACCTATGAAAAGATGTGCTGAACCTTCCTTAGGCCCTACTAAGCGTTACTCACTTGCTTAGGAGTCACCAGCTAGTGGTTTCAATGGGACAAAATAAATCATGCAACAGGACGAATAAATAGACTTTAAAACGCGCGGGACTCGAATGATGATGATGATGACAGCCTCGAAGCGGAAGCGATGCCTTTCTCCGTTTTCCACTGCGGCTGTCCTATCACATGTCGTAAAAGTCACTTAACAGCTTTATTCAAACAACACACGTTATTCAAAGTTTCTAACTTCAACACAAATTGTGTTTCAGCGTCCGAACCTAAATTTTCCTGGTACTGCTGGTACCCCTAAGCGCCGCCAGTCGGCGCCACCACAACGTGCGGACGTCAATGTGCCGATAGTTTTAGAGTGTTTGCAACTGCATGATTGGGGTCACGTGGTTTACGAACCGATTTTGCAATAGATGCTGCGACGCGATGAGGAGTCAAAAGCGTCGATTGTCCGCAAACAACTTCAAGGCTGTTGTATTTTTTTCTGATTCTTTTCATATTTTTTTTCTTGAGCTTCTCGCCGCGCTGCGGTGAACGCATAAGCCTGCACATGAGTAACCACTTTGCGCGGGACCCGTCCGCCATTAAATTGCAAGCGCTCTCCCTGATCTGAATTGTTCCCTCTCCTATGCCTGGGCTCTCTAGTGACTGCCGTCAGCTGGCAAAGAGGGTCCGCCAGCGAACTTTCCGGGCGGCGAGGACAGCTGAGCGCTGAGGGGTCCGGCCACGTGAGGAATGTATACAGTGTCCAAGGCCCCCCACCATGTGCTCTCCAAGTCCCGCATGCTAGGTACGTCGGGCACGGTCGCCGTCCGCGCAACCCACGTGGGACCCGCTGGAGGTCGTCGCACGGGTCTCGCTCGCTCACGCCGATATTTCGACCCCCCTCTCAACCAGGCGTGCCACCCAAACTCGCAAGCTCGGAACCCGCCACACGAGCGGCCACCAATGGAAGCCATCAGAACGGACACCCCGACATGAGGTACAGTTCTCCGATCCCCATTTGCATTTTCCGCTGGGATTCGTACGACCGGCGGCAGTACGCCAATCGGTCTTGCAAAGGGCACGAGCGATCTGCATGTCCTCCAGAGCTCGGGGACGTAGGGAGCATGTGGGGACGGTCGCCCGAAGTTCCAACGAGGACGCTGACGTACCTCGTGCTCTGATAACCTTTAAAATCATAAAGGAGCCCCAAAGGCTTCGTACTTTTCGGGGGATGAGGAGGGGGGGGGGGGGGGGGGGGGGGGGGTGCGACTACGGTGGTCGCGGCGTGTGTGGTATGGTGGAGGGGAAGGAAGCATTTTTTCCCCTTCCCCGATTTGGTTGCAGTATTTTTTTTTCTAATATATAGGGGGTAAAGGCGGCTATAACCCCCCCCCCCCCCCCCCCCCCCCCCCCCTCTCTGTTCCGGCGATTTAATTTCGAAAACGCCGTTAGAAACGCCAGGCCGTTTTTTTTTTTTTTCGGACGTTCCGTCCCGAGTGTGATCTCGAGATCTTCCTTCGATGCTGCCTTGATGAGATTTCGACCACGAGAGGGTCCAAATTTCTCCTGGCTACCCCTCTTTTCTCTTTTTCTTTTGACTACAAAAAAAAAAAAAGAAAAAGCAGAACACGGATTGTCTGTGTTCTGGGTTTGATTTCTTGTAAGCTTCTTTTTTTTTATTGTTATATTATTGCGTTTACATCGAAGAAGACTATAAACATGAAAATCTTCAATGGGGCTTCGCCCACGCTATTTATCGTGGCATACGCTAGCGAAGCACGATCGCATATCACAATCTCGACCTGAGGGCTGAGCGGAACACCACAAAGTACAACAAACGCAGGTTACTGACACTGACACACACACACACACACACACACACACACACACACACACACACACACACACACACACGCACACACACACACACACACGCACGCACGCACGCGCACACACACGCACACACACAAACAGACAAACAAATATCACTTGCTTTAAAAGCAGGTGCGGCAGTTAGACTCGAATCCGACCCATTGGTCGACGGACAGCTCGAAGGACAGTTCGTCGAATAGGGCAATTAGCACGATGAGGGACGATACATGAGCTTTCAAATTTTTGTTCTGTGTGTCTGTCAACTGCAGTGTCAAACAGACAGTTTGTTTGGGGGATCGGTGACCGAGTAGGCTAGCGCATACTAAAGTCACTGGATCCTGGGAAAGTAGCGCCATTGCCGTCCCTACCTGCTAGCCGGACACAAACAAATACGAACATACAGGCGACTTAAACATAGCTGGGCGATTGGCTAATTGGTCTACGTTGCCATGGAAATCGCTGTTGGTCCATTTAAATCTTCGAAGCTACTTCGTTTCAGCTTCGGTCCAGACGCAGCCGATGCTACAAGCGCGAGCATGTTGCCCACAACAGTGCTTGCACTGCACGAGCGCACGTGCTTGGCAGGGATGCTGAAAGCCCGGAGCTCGCGCTTGTAGCTTTGGCTGCGTCTGTACCGAAGCTGAAACGAAGTATAGAGGGTCGTTCTAAACCAGTCGCGCCAAGATTACCATGGAGCATCATTGTACTGGAGGCGTTCCTCGCCAATATAAGAGTCTTTGGCACTCTGTATGCAATCAACTTATTATTCAGGCCTATCTCCATGAATCTCTTACAATTATATTGTTCTCCTTGCTTATTTCAATACAGTAAACTTATTTTTCAGTGCCTCCAAGCACCGACACAGCATCTGGTGGTGGTACGAAGATGTACGCTTGTTTCGCGGGTGTGTGGTTAGCGAAATCTCGGTGTACAAAAAACCACTCCATAAAGCTATTCGTCACCAGCGAATCTAGATCGGCTCACCAAGAACGGAGGGGTCAAGGAGAAATTGCTCATTTCACGGACCACGATGGCGACCACACGGGGAGCTTGGCGTTATCTTTCCCAGGATTTAGTGACTTTAGCGCATACCAGCTCACGCTGCAGAACCCAGGTATCCTGGGTTCAATCAATTGGTTCAATCCCCACCCCTGCCCGTTTCGATCCGGATGAGCATCGTACCGGCGTCTGTAGTCAGTGAAGCCGCACGCTAACACCACAAGGGGAAATATGGCGCTGTAGGCGCGTTGTCTAAAAAGGGGCGTCATTAATTGTTGAAAAAATGTTCGAGACACGCGCCGCGCGCCTTTTCTGGGAAATTCATAGCGTCTGAAATCTAGCTCAGTGCTGCGCTGACCCAGACCAACCCAGAGTGAGGATACTTCCTCTGCTGGTGCAAGCACGTGCCATGCCAAGCTTCTATGCACTACGAACGTTAAAACATAACCGCGTGGGTACCACGTGCGCTGCCCATTGTGAGGTAAAGCCCCTTCATGTTTCAAAAGTAGCACAAGGTGCGTCGATGCAGGAGGCACGTGCATGCAACGTGCAGCCCTTAGGAAGATCATGGCGGCACAGCACAGCTCTGAGCTGGATTTCAGACGCCATACACCAGCTCGGAGCACGTGGAGCGAAAGCTCGCGCTGCAGAACCCAGGGATCCTGGGTTCAATCTCCATCCCTGCCCGTTTCGATCTGGATGAGCATCGTACCGGCGTGCGGTCGTGTATCACTACTGCCTGATGCACGTTAAAGACCCCAGGCTAGCGGTTGTACTGCGCTGGCTAAATTGCTCATCTACAGCTGGGGGACTCGTCGCCCGTCGAGGCAGATCAAGTTCTAGGCTGCATAAACATAAACACAACCCAATTTTTTTTTTTCAGACGCCATGAATTTCTTAGAATTGGCGCGCGGCCCGTGCCTCGAGCATTTCGACAACAATGAATGGCGCCACTTTTCCCAGGATGGAGGGGCTTTATAGTGAGAACACAAGCGCCCCTAGCGAGCTTCTCACCGCGAATACCAATAGGCTATGAGCGGAACCTCTATGCTCAAGCAGGCACTTCGGTTGCGCAAACTCTCGCTCAGCAGGAGCTACTGCTAAATGTTGTGGGATTTGCTAGCTACTAACACAGGTACCGATAGAGTAACGAAAAGGTTATCTCAACAGCGGCGGCGATCTATAGGGAGACGTCAAACCTAGTAGCGCGCGGTCCCCGCATCTCCGCGGCAATGCAGACGACGTTTAGGGCTACATTACCGCGGGTCGGTTCGATCAATTACCTCCGTCAGTGCCAATGATCGTCTACCTTTTCTCCCTCTCTCGAATATAGCGGAAGAGAAGACACATGTACCAGAGTAAGGACAGACTCTATGGCGTACCGTACATTCACGAGGGCGCCCATCAAACCATTCTGCCAGCTTGGCCGCGAGGCAGCTATGTAGCTGCCTCGCCTCAGACGCGATCATATGGTCGTGTCGCCGCGGGGTCGATAGGGATCTCGAATTCGGCTCCCGACGTGCCGCTTTCTCTCCTACCCATACAAAAATGGTCTATGGTTTTCTATGGAAATTTATATGGCTGTTTATCACCCCCTATGGCCCTCTATGGTCGGCCATAGAAATCCATAAAGACAGCTGCAGGCAGCTATAGAAAAATCTATGGCCCTGTGTCTAAAGACTGGGAACCAATACATTTTCTTTACCCGCTTATAGATAATTCTATGGCCACAAGTCTAAAGACTGGGAACCAATAAATTGTCTTTAACCCTCTATAGAAAATTTTATGGCCCAGAGTCTAAAGATTGGGAACCAATAAAATTGCTTTAGACGCCTATAGAATATTATATGGTCCCATTTCTAAAGACAGCGAACCAAGAAATGTTTTTTACCCGCCTATAAAAACTTCTTTGGCCCCGAGTTTAAATACTGGAAACCAATTATTTATCTTTACTCGTCTATAGAAAAATTTATGGCCCCGAGTCTAAAGGCCAAGAACCAATACATTTTCTTTCCACGCCTATAGAAAATCACTACCGGCGCTTACTTTTTAGTAAAAACACTCCACGTTAGAAAATTAAATCAATACTAAATTTTTGTAATGGAGGTGAAAAACCATGACCCAAGATATGTTCTCTGCTGTTGCAACGAGTCGTGAAAATTAGTAATATTGTTTGTTTGAAAAATCCATTAAAATATTTGTGCCACAATTAAAATTAATTATTACCCCCCAAAAGTGAAAATAAATTACAATGGCGCCGAACACTGCAACCAAGCAATAGCTTGATTGAAATCTTCAGCACCAGTGTACTGCATGTCATCACTGCATTGTCAACGTGATTCATCAAACATATTAAAAAGATAATCAATAAATTTTAGTTAATTAGCCTAATGATCTACATTTGCTTTTTTCAGGGTGTCGAATTAAGAGATGGGGGCTATTCCAAGAGACAATTCAAATAATGTATTAAGTACGAGTAATATTTGCTCCGCCTCTCCGTGTTTTTGAGACAAATGATGGGTCACCGGGAAAGTCGGATTCAAAAATTAGACTGCTATATATACAGCTAGTGCGAACATAACGTACGTTCGCACTAAATGTATGAATGGCAGTCCGGTGTTGCTGCGTTGTTGCCGTTGTGTGGGGTAGTGTTCTGCTTGTGTTGTGTGTATTCTGTGTGTTCAGGGATGTATGTATATCTACCATGTAGCGTTCACAAGTTTGGGGAACTTGAAGTAAATTTTTTTAGAGTTTGCTGGCTAAAGAGAGCCATAGGATAAGCCATAGAGGAGTCTTTAGCCAACCATTAGACAAGCTAAAGAGCGCTGTGGCTGGACAGCGATAGGGCCATAGACAAAGCTAAAGAGCCCCATAAAGGCGACCATAAAAAATGCTAAAGACAGCCATAGAAAATTCTTTAGCTAATTGGGCCAAATAGCTAAAGCCGACCATACAAAGAATTTTCTATAGCCGACCATAGGACATTTTTGTATGGGTAGCCACTGGATGGCGCTGCAGGCGCCCCGTGGCTAAACGAAAACATATCGAGGGGCTTTAACCGTGGCGGGCTCGCCCATCGATCGAGATATACCAGGTGTTTGATATACTCGGAGGCCAGGGGGCGAAAGGCCTCTCTGCCTGGGGGCCCTCTTTGTGTTTAGCTTTGGGCTTAAAGGGGCCCTCCGGAGCTTTCTGCGATCGTCTTTTATGTTGTTATATTGCGTAGTAGGTGCAAGTTAATATGCATACAATGTTTTAGATTACAAAACCGTTTATTAAGCAGATGGCAGTAGAAATATATCGGGACTATTTTCTCTTGGAAGACAATCCCCCATTCCCTGTCCATCGCTAAAACTTGACCAATGGGAATGCTGCATCTCGCGGTGAATGCGAACGTTATTATTGCAACACTTTTTAAGCTTGTAAATTAGAGTTTGAGAAAAACGTAAACTGATTGTGGTGCGCGGGAAACTTAGTCCGCAATTATCGCTCTAAAACCAGCGAACTATGTTTTCTCCCCGCAAGCTTGTTGCTAGAGGGTGATGCGTCGGCGCGTCGGCTCGTCTGCTTCCCGGGGCGTCTGCAGGCGTGCGTTTGCGAGACACGTGTTCCTTCTTCCCGTGGATCCCGACTCCGAAGCCAGCTTTGCGATCCTTTCACGTTAACGAGTCAAACTTTTCCTTGTCATCTGTTGAATGCGACTGCGTATTGCAGTAGATGCGCGAAGGTGCGGTGCGACGAACGACGACTGCCGAGCACAAAGTCCGTGCTCCTTGACGACGGTCCGCGCGTGTTCGAGGGATTCCTCCGCGGGTCGGCGGTCGGCCGCGTTGGTGACGCGCAGTGAAGCCGGAATCCTTCGCTTGCTATTGGCTGACGCGTAAAAAGATGCTTCTCCCGTTTTCCGGGGTCATCTCAGAAAGGAGGGCGTGCCGAGGACTTTGATAGCAATTTTAATAGGGAAATCCGCCGCGCATGACCGTAATTTTATGATTTTTAGGATCCTTAGGGCCTGTAGACTGAGTTACCGCCATAAATAGACCATCGCAGAACGCTCCGGAGGGCCCCTTAACGTGCGCTTGTAAATATTTGTGTAATGTCGCGTGTATTTGTAGTTTAGAATGAGTGTCTTGTAGTGTTGTGTTTTATTGTGCCAATAAACGGGGAGCGGAATCCCGCTCCGGTGAAAGAATTAACCAGCCTGGACTCGGGTTGTTGACGGACCACGTGGGATCTGGCCTATCGGCGGCGGTACGCGAATTCCTACAACTCCAGGAGCATTTGTTAGAATACTCTTCTAAAAGAACTACGATGTCCCCATCCAAAATGCCCCCCGCGCCGGCAAGGTAAAAACGGGTCCTTACCTGCCAGACGCGGGGTTCCGGAGAGCCAAGACCGGGGAAGCGTCGGAGAAGTCGCCGACATACGTCCTATCTCTTTCGCGGTCACCCGGACGAGTCCCCTTTCCCGAAAGCGGGAAAACTAGAGGCGAGACCTCCTCGCCTATCAGCTGTGATCCGCATCCGAGCGGGGAACGGAAATCAGTCCCCCCGAGAGAGTGTGAGGGGAGAGCCCCCCAAGCCAGGCGACCCTCCGCCTCACGAACAGGTCGGAGCTCACGGCGGGGCCGAGCGTTCCGACCCGCGGCCGTTATCACAGCCATCGTGGAAGGGAAACCAGAGAAATCCCCACAATATAAAGCTATGAGCTCGCGCTTCTAGTTGTCAGACAATAGCTTTCATAGACATTTTCCTATAATGCGTTGCTACAAAAATCGCCAGGAAAGCAAAAACTGCCGTACGAAGATATATATTTTGTCAATGCCTGTTGAGCCCATGTGAGTTGTGCGACAGGGCAAGTACGGTGTGCTTGTTTTTGTTCTACTGAAAACTGCCATTACGTTGGTGTTCTAAATCTTGTTATAACATCAGGTGTGGGCCCAAAGTAGTCGTATATGCAAATGAAAGCTAAAGATGGCAAAACGGCGAGCTTACAAACAGCAGAGACCACAAGGTTCCTTCTATAGGAAATCTCTGGGGTGTCTTTGGCACAGTTGTCTGCTTTGTAACGTGAAACGCCATACTGTTTGTCTCGAAAATATTGCCCCGAATGCTCCAATCCATGACCAAAATGGCGGCCACGTGGGCACCATTTTGGTCATGGATTGGAGCATTCCCTTTTACCGCCGCGTGGCCGCCATTTTTTTTCTTATGCAACATCCAGAGATGGTTTGTAATTTAAGGCTCTCTCATTTGTATTAACCGCCGTGGGTAAATTTTTATAGCACTAACAATAACAGGATTTCGAAAATGATTTTTTTTTGTTCTGTTTTTATATGTACAGTTAATTGGTTACCTTTTTCAAATTATTTTCACTCCAGAGGCCCTGTGCACAAGTTATCATCGAAGTTGGAACATTATATATTGAGAGGGAAAATGTTCAAGATTTGAGAATGTGGTTTAATAAAACCTAAATAATAAATTAAGAATTACCGGGTGCCTGCGGAGACTTTCAAAACTGGCTAAAAGTAAGTTGTTTGAGGAAAAAAAAAATTCTTTTTGAGGGAACAAGTTGTCAGTTACAGAATACGTCACAGACTGTAAGGAACATACTAATTAGCAAAACACTTGCCTGAAATGTACTAATTAACTGTATAATTAGTGAAAGTAGCGATATTGTTCTAACTAGAAACTTGAGCGTCATCAAAATCGCTTAGATCAGTCAATTTTCGGGACTATCTGAAGCACGTGGGAAGGGTGGGGCTGCTCTAAAGTCACCACTCGTGCAGCAGGCTCAAGGCCGTCGATACGAATACACGATTGACAGGAACATCATCCGCGCTTTGATATCGCCGCGGCCGTATCTTCATCCTCGGTGATTGAACACGTGCGCGTGGTTTTGACGCAAGCTCAGAACACGCTTCCACAGCCCAGCAGACAAACGATGGCGGCGCGCAAAAAGCCGATGATTGGGATGGTCTATGGCATAGCCTCCTCTCTATACTCACAAAGCCTGGCAGTTTGACGACGGAGCCATAGAGTGCTCGGTCGCAGATTTTGGAGCGCGAGGATCTGGTAGCACAGAGCATCTAAGAGCCATTTCTCGGAGAACCTGGACGTCAGCGCACAGCTTTTGCAGCGGCGAGGACCCGCAACACACTTGTTCGCTCGGGAGAAGTGTGTTTCGACGTCTCGCCGCAGCGGGGCGCCAGTCACGTGGCTCTCCTCTCATCCGTTGTCTGCCGCTCCATCTTTTCCATTTCGGCGGCCGCTTCTCGTGGCGATCTGCCAGGCTTTGTCAGTATACCGGAGGCTATATGCCTTTGGTTATCGGTGACTGAAGCAAACGCGCGCTTTGGTTGCAGCGGACCGCGGCCGGTCTTCGGCCAGGTGAACAGCAGACGGCTCCACTCTCCCCTGCGCAGGCAGCAGGAGGACTCGGGACTGCCGCAGCACGAGGAACTCGCACAGTACCTCCACGACTGTGAGTGCATCGAAGACGTTCGCAACTATACAACGTCTTTCTTTCTACAATACGCTTCCCTGTTTGTTGTTCTGGCCGCTTGGCCCAACCAGTTTCTTTCAGCGGATGGCTCAGCATGGCGTTTTAGTAATCCTCCTTTTTGCCAATCAAGAAATAAAAATAAGAAATATATATACGCGCACACACGCATGCACGCACGCACGCGCGCGCGCACACGCACACATGTACGCACGCACACACGCATACGCACGCACGCACACACACACACTGGGTGTTTGACGTACGAGTGACAGAAATTCCTACAGTGAGTATATTCGAGGTAAAAGAATAATTTTCTGGGGACCGCATTACTGGTGGTGGCGGACGTCTGAAAATTCGCGATACTTACTAATTAGGTCGCTAATTAATGAAAAGTGACTAATTGACTTTTTTTTTTAATTCGTGAAATTAGACATATGGTTTAGATCAAAAACTTGTTGAGCCTCATCGAAAACCACTGAATCAGTAATTTTCAGAGGGACTTTGAGCGCGTTAGAAGCGTAGTAATGTACTAAAGTTACCACTTGTGGAGCAGGTACAAGCCTGGGGCTAGATAACAGGCGGAAGAATTGCGCGGGCGCCTTACCGCAACCACTAGCCTTGTACCTGCTTCACGAGTGGTAACTTTAGTGCACGTACTACTACGCTTCTCACGCGCTCAAATTCTTTCGGAAAATTACTGATTAAGCGATGACGCTCACCAAGTCTCTGATCTGAACGATATGTCTATTTTAACGAAATAAAAAAAAGTTAATAAGTCATTTTTAATTAATTTGCGAACTAATTAATAAGTATCTACGAGTAATGCGGTCCTGAGAAAATTATTTTTTTTTACCTGGAATGCACTAATTATATGAATTTTCGTCACTCTTACGTGAAACAATATTATTAATGAAAAAATTATTGCACAATGAAGGTAAACAATGTGTAATGGACTGGTAAGTATGTTAATAAGGGCTCGTGGCATTTTCCATTTTTCCGAAAGACGGGTGTTTCTACGGCGAGGATGTTCGGAGAGCTTCGAAATCTTACGTAGGAACGAAGCGTAATTAAGTTTTTCCTCAAACAAGATGCCAATAATTGATGTATGACTGAAATAGTGCGGTTGTAAATTTGTAATTTAGCGTTAACTGGAGAAACAAAATCGCGACAGTGGGACATAATTTCAACGACCCTTCGCAGGCCCTTTTTTTTTTTTTACAAAATAACGCAATGACTCCGCAAAATATCTTCGGAAAACATTAGGGAGTTTTAGTAGACCGTGTTTCTCGCTCCGCTAGCCCTCCGCTACGAAGAAACCGCCACTGCACCTGCGCGCCGATGGCCTTGGCTGTAGAGTTCCGGGTAGCGGAGGGGCTTAGCGGAGCGGGAAACACGGTCTACTAAAACTCACTATTATTCCGAGCGTTTTGTGCAACTAAATAGACTGGTATAGAGTACTCTAGTGCAATATTATGATTAACGGGTAGAGCGTTGTTTTCCGGTCTGAAAGCGGAAACTTTTGTTTCCTGGGTGTTAATATTAAGCCCATTGTTGTAGGATCATGAAGGAAGTGGCTGAAAACATCTTTCGCGTCTGCTGAGAGAAATAGGCTTATATAATCAGCGTATTCTACGTATCTTATTTGCTCGTTTATATTTGCCATATCATTAATATATAGTACCATAAATAACATTGTTCCAAGGGGAACACCGCATTGCATGTTCAGAAAAGGTGAGGTATGACCATCGGTTACAACACATTGCTTACGCTGCTCCAAAGAGGAATGTAAAATGGACATAGCTACACCACGCACGCCTTAACAGCATAGTTTATAATTTATAAAGTAGTATTTCATGGTTGGTGAAATCAAACGCCTCGCTAAAACTAATAAATATACCAAGGGTAAACAGCATATTGTTTAGATTATTTTTCAATAACTTCTTTTTGGTGGAGCGACGCAGACTCTGTTGTTGACCTTTCCTTGCGGAAACCAAATTGGAAATTCGCTTTTACAAAGTGCTTAGAAGAAGAGAAAAAGAGTCTAGGTGTAAAACACGTGATTGTGTACAGCCCTTTACAAAATACAGGAAGTATGGAGATGGATCTTATAGTTTGCTGTACGTCGTTTCGCAGCCGACGCTACGAGGTGATGGAACAAATCAGACAGCGTCAAAAGCTCAGCATCATGGTGTTCGCCATGTTTCTGTGCGTGCTCTATCTTCGCTTAAAGGCCGACGATATTCTGCAAGGCAGAAGATCCTCCTCACCATGGGGGAGGAGGAAACAGGCAACGGTGGACAGGGTAGAAGGGGGAGAGGAGAAAGCAAGGGAGAAGTGGAAAGCGCGAACTGGGGGGGGGGGGGGGGGGGGTCGTCGGTCTTTAACCAATTACTAACCGAAAAGGCCTAGTGAATTGCGCTTTTCACGCTACTTGATTGGTCCTCTTATCTCGTAGCGTCGGTGGGCCTAAACTACAGTACATTTTTGTCTGCTTTAAACATCACCGACACTTTATTTATTTATTTTTTGTGTGTGCGGAGATGTCACTGGTGACAAGGCATGGTTGAAAGTTACTTTTTTTTAATGTACCTGTAACTGTAGTTTTATTACTTTTTTTTCGAAGTAACGATGAAAGTAACAACGTTATTTTTGCCTTTCGGTAACTACCCCCTTTTTTGCGAATAAGATATTGCCGTGTGCATGACGTAGAGGGAACGCTTCTTCGTAATTCTAAAAGGTTCGAGTTTACTCTTACCCGGAGTGTAAAAGATAAGGAAGCCAACCTGACGTTGCCGAGTCAGTCTCTTCTTCTAGCTCATTCTCGAACGTTCTAGTTCAAATATTCGCGATAATGAGTGCAAGGAGTCGAGCGCGGCCTTGTCGACTCACTCAGACTCTCCCGACGACGAGGCACACTCTCGCAGTCTCGCTTTAGCCAGCGGGCACGCTGATACCGTGACGTTGGCTGCTGCTCGTCTTTATTTCATTTTTGGCACAAGTTTGCTCATTAAACCTTTATCTTCGGTGTACGCTCGTTGAGCCTTTTTTCAATCCTCGATGATATCATTGAACGAGTAAAGTCTAGCGATTCCTTGCAATTTTTAAAATTATGTGTTGCGTCATTTGGAGTGCCATGTCGGCCGTGCACAAACTTGTGAGTACGTTCTTGCTCGCGAGTCACGACCCGAATATAGCCACGTGTAGATTTGATGAAAAAAAATAATTGAAAGGCGTTTACAAATCTCTAATGCGAAATTAGAGCGCAGCTTTTGAGGAGGAGGAGGGAAGGGTATGTCCCTCCTCCATAGCCTCCTCTCCTCCTCCTCCTGCGTACCGTCCCATCCTCCTCCTCCCCCTACAGTTTCCCGGCTAAATTTAGCTGAAAAATTGACGCCACGTGACCTTGACACAAATTCAGTTTCCCCGCTAAACTTAGCGGGAAAATGACGTCACATGACTTCGTGTCACGTCACCCATGAACAAATTCAGTTTCTCCGCTAGATTTAGCGGGAAAATTGGCGTCACGTGACCTCAACACCAATTCAATCTCCCGCTAAGTTGAGCGGGGCGGTTACGCCTACGGCGACGCTGCGAAAGGCGAAAACAAACGCCCAAAAACTGTGCTAAAAAAAAAAAAAAACAGTTATGTTAACGCACGCGCTTGTACTTTATGACTGAACACTTACACCTTGGTATCTTAAAGCACTACTATGTTTCCGTTTGATTTTTTTTTTTTTTTTTTACGCAATCGCTTTTTAATTTTGGGAATTTGTTGCAGCCTCTACTTGGAATTCAGGTACCGCTTATCTTATTGGCGCACTTGAATCCGTTCGGAACAAGTACGTTTCATATTGGCTAACTATATAACCACACCGCTAGTGTTTAACATCAGTGAAAGAAAGCCTGCATCTCCCCTGCCTCGCACATCGTCGCAGAATCTCGAGCCTTTGTATCTTTCACAAGGTCTTCCACCCGTAACTCTGTGCTCAGAAGTCTGCTAATATACCATCCATCATTTGTTTCAGCACGCATTGATCATCATCATGAGGTTGGCCTCCCATTTTGCCGTCATAACATATTTTACGCATCACTCATTCCTGGAGCATCAGACGACTGTAATCACCTGCCTACATCCCTTGCATCAATTGTCGATTCCGATCTTTTTTTGCTATACTGAGCCTATTAATAACGCGTTTTCTTTTGCGTAACTTTGTCTATTTGCTTTCACTGTTTAATGGATATTTGGTTCCTACCGTAAACATTTTTATGTTTCCTACGTTTATATCTTAAAAAAGGAACACGCCCCTCTGTAGAATGCCTTCTTTGGCCCCCTTGAGGGTAAAATAAATAAATAAATAAGCAAGCCGTGAAACAATGCATGCGGAGGGCAGTGGGCTTGCGTGCTTTTCGTTTCGGAAAATTAACTGAAGAGTAGTGCCGTTACTTTTTAGAGGTAACTGTAAAGAGTTACTCTCTCTTTGCGGACACTGTAATGGTAACTAACTGTAACGAATTACTTTTTGGAACTAAATAACCCAACACTGGTTTAAGGGGCAATCGGGTGGATTCTGAAATCGTCTATTTATGGTGATAACTCAATCTACGGGCTCTAAGCATCCATCTTACAGAACCCGAAATTGCACTCATGGGCGGCCGATTTCCATATTAGAAATCTCATCAAAGATCCTGACACGCCCCTCTTTCCGCTACCATAAAAAAATGTTTAAAAAAATAATAAAAAAAAGAAGCTGTATTACGTTATTTACGCACAATGCACCCAAAATAGCAATAATAGTAAGATTCAGAATCACCCCGCAATTAACTATCTTTATTGACCAAATGTTCTAGAGGTGGTAGGGACCCGACGCAGGGACCCAAGGGAAAACTAGTGCACGTATATTTCTATTACTGTGAGTTTACTGCAGGACGTCTTGCCATCTAGAGCTGGCCATTTTTTCTTCACTAAAGCCGAACAAACG